AAATGAAACTGGACGTTCTTTCTCCATATACAAGAATAAACTCAAAATGGATTAAAGACTTAAATGTAAGACCCAAACCATATAGCTCCTAGAAGAAAATAAAGGAAGTAAACTCTCAGACATTACCCTTAGTAATATTTTTACTGACATATCTCCTTGGGCAAGGGAAACAAAAGAAAGAATAAACAAATGGAACTACATCAAACTGAAAAGTCTTTTCACAACAAAGAAAACCATCAGAAAACAAAACGACAACCTACCAAATGGGAGAAGATAGTGCCAATGATAACATCTGATAAGGGGTTAACATCCAAAATTTACAAAAAACTCAGACAACTCAACACCATAGAAACAAACAATACAATTAACAAATGGGCAGAGGACCCAAAAAGACATTTTTCCAAAGAGGACATACAGATGGCCAAAAGACATATGAAAAGATACTCAACATCACTAATCATCAGGGAAATGCAAATAAAAACCACAATGAGATACCACCTCATACCTGTCAGAATGGCCATCATCAATAAATCAACAAAGTATTGGCGAGAGTGTGGAGAAAAGGGAACCCAGGTGCACTTTGATGGGATTGCAGGTTAGTGCAGCCACTATGGAAAAGAGTGTGGAGGTTGTTCAAAAAATTAGAACTACCTTATGACCCAGAAATCCAACTCCTGGGTAGTTATCTAAAGAAATACAAAACACTAATTCGAAAAGAGATATGCACCCCTATATTCACTGCAGCACTATTCACAATAGCCAAGCTATGGAAGCACCAAAATGCCCATTGATAGATGATTAGATAAAGAAATTGTGGTACATATATACAATGGAATATTACTCTGCCATTAAAAAGAATGAAATTGCGCTATTTGCAACAACATGGATGGACCTAGAGGGTATTATGATACGTGAAATAAGTCAGACTGAGAAAGACAAATACCATATAATTTCATTTATATGTGGAATCTAAAGAACAAAATAAATGAACAAACAAAACAGAAACAGACCCATAGATACAGAGAACAAACTGATAGTTACTGGATGAGAGGGGGGTGGGGGGCTGGGTGAGAAAGATGAAGAGACTATGAAATACAAATTGGTAGTTACAAAAGAGTCACAAGGATGTAAAATACACTATGTGCAATACAGTCATAATAATGTAAAAACTGTATAGTATCAGATGAGACTAGACTCATCAGGGGGGAAATCACTTCATAAATTATATAAATATCTAACCGCTATGCTATATACCTGAAACAAATATAAAATAATATTGAATGTCAACTACCATTTAAAAAAATAGTCACAGGGTATAAAGTACATCATAGGGAATCCAGTAAATAATATTGTAATAACTATGTACAGTAACAGATGGGAAATAGACTTATTGGGGTTATCACTGTGTGAGGTATATAAATGTCTAATCACTATGTTGTCTTGGTACACCTGAAACTAATTTAAAAAATGAAAAAAAAAGTACACAACATGATGACTTGATATAGGTATACACTGTAAAATATCTACCACAATCAAATTAATTAACACATCCAATCCCTCACATAGCTACCTTTCTGTGAGTGGTGAGAACACGTATGAACTCCTCTCTTAGCAAATTTCAAGTATACAACACAGTATTATTAACTATAGTCACCACGCTGTATATTAGATCCTCAGAACTTATTCATCTTATAACTGAAAGCTTGTACCATGTGACCAATTTTGGAACTAAGAGCTAGTACCCA